GGAAAAAAAAAAAAAAAGAATTGGAAAAGCTTGGACACAGCCACATATTACAAATAAAACTCCTCCTGTAAGAGCCCTGAAAACAAAAACAAAACCAAAAAAAATGACCAAAAAGAAAAGAGCATCACATTCTCTAGCTGGTTGCAGCTGGTTTTGCTGTCGCCTGCTTGATCGCCTCAGCATATGTTCGATGTTGATAGGTCAGAGTTGATTCCAGCAGATCCCACAGTGAGGTCTTTGGGTTCCAACCTGAACACAGTTGGGGAACTTTCATTCAAATAACTATATTCATAATCCAATGATCATACCAAATGAAATGAGATGAGCCATCCCCTACCAAGTTGCTTATTGATGATGGTCATATCAGGAATTCTCTTGTCACTGTCGTCATAACCCACGCCGTAGAATTCTTCAGAGCTTATATCGATTGTCGGTTTCTCGAGAGAAGGTTCCCCGCTTACCTTTGCATAAACCTATCGAAGTCCAAGCAAACAACTTCTTACCTTTCTTCTTCATCAAACAAAAGCAAAAGAAAACTAAAATTTAAAACCAAAAACGCTTCTCCCTCACCTCGGTCATCATTTCGGCAAGCTGCTTCACTGTTACTTCATTGTTGGGATTGCCCACATTGAAGATTTGGCCATTGGCCCTAGCTGGGTTTTCCTGAACAGGCAATAAACAATTCAGATACAAAAGACCTTCGGGTTCGAAATCAAAGAAAAGCAGAGGAATGTCGTACAATCATCAAAAGAACTGCTTCAATCGCATCTTTGATGTATATAAAAGTTCTTTGGGATTGGCCACCATCCACGAGCTTCAGTGGCTCGTGGCGTAGGAGATTCTGCAAAATCAGAAAATCAAACACCGTCAATCTTCGCAGCAAGAGTCACTAGGAGAAGTAGAAGCCAAAGCAGAAAACTAGCAGTACATACATTGCTAAAGCAAGCTAAAACTCTCGGAACACCCTCACTTGGGCCATCAATGCCAGGAATGAAGTCCATCCTAGGACCAATCCAGTTAAAGGGTCTTACAATTGTAAAATCCATCCCATTTTCCGCACCCTCAGCTGTGAAAAAACAAGAACAAGGGCTAAGATCTGCCCATTTTTCGAGTACTGATTCCCATAAAGCCACAGAGTATACAAGTAAGAAAACTAACCATAAATCAGCCTCTCGATCAATTGCTTCGCACACGCATAGGACCATCTTTGCTTCTCAATGGGACCAAAGATGCAAGGAGATGAATTCTCACTCAAAACATAATATGCTGGATCCTATCATAAACAAATTACTACAGTATTCAACTTCTTCTCATTAATTAGGCTATTGTAAGAGGACTAGACCAGAAAGTCGCATTAAGAACACTAAAAACCAAATAAATGAACAGATAACATTGATAAAAACAGGCAGATAGAAAAAGAAATCTCGGTGATCTTTTAAAACATTTAAGCCCCATATTTCCAATCAAGAAAAGAAAATCAATTTGGCAAATAGTTTCATTGCAAAATTAACAAGTACAATGCCATTCATAATCTACATTTCAGCCAAATAAGGAATCAAAGCACGCAAACATCCACATTGTCATGCAAACCACAATATTTTGTATAGAATTTTCAATTTCAAGATCTGACAGATTTTTTACAGCAACATGAAGAAAAACAAGATGCTGTTTCTACTTCCATTTCAAGTTCAAATTCTTCAAATCTTTCATGGCCATTCAAAGAAAGGTTCCTAACGACTTTGCAAGATCCAGGACATTGCATTGTCATTTAACAAGGCAAAAGTGATTATAGATCGAAAGGATTGAAGGAATTTATATATAATAAGAGGAAAAAAGAAAGAAAGCAGAAAGAGATGGTTTACCTGACGAAGAGGGCTATCTTTTGGAAGAAAGCTTCCAATCGTCTTACCGTACACTTCGCAAGTTGAAAAGTGAATGAGACGCTTGTTGTTGCCAGAACAGTATTTAACCTTTGAAAAAGAAAGCACATTAAATCAAACACGCCAAATCACAAATTCTCAACGATAACCAAATTTTTTGAATTGAGAAGTAGCGCACACATGCAAATCAAAACATCAAGAAACGATAATTAGAAAGAACGAGTAATGAATCGCATACACACCACAGGAATTGCGTCAATGAAATTGCTGTAGATTGTGTCAAGGGGTCGCGTATTGTAGTCCGCAGGCGTACAGATCGCAGCAAGATTTATCGTCTACATAAGCCAAGGAAAATTCCAATCACGAAACATCTCATAAAACAAAACTTAAAGAAATGACAATGAGCATTTGCTCAGAATCCACAATAGACCCGAAGAAGAACCAATTGTTCAAACAAGCCAAAACAAAAATTGAACAATTCATAGAATTCGAACCAGATCCGCCATTCGAATGAGGCTCTCGAGCCTGGAATCGTTCTTGATATTGAGACGGTGGAACTGAATACGATCGGCCCAGGGGAGCGAATCGGGCTCAAGAAGATGCTTAATCTTGTCATTATAAACATCAAGAGCAAGCACCTTGTGAGGGGTTTCAGCCATAAGCTTCTCACAGAGGTGAGAGCCAATGAAGCCACCAGCGCCAATCATGCAAATGGTGATTGGCTTAATGGGGTTGCCATCCAGATCTACCCTCTTCTCGGACGCCATTGTTGCTATGTTACTCTGCAGATCTAGACTGAAAATCCCGCTGTGTTGTAAGAAATCTTGCGGGAAAGAGGAAGAAAGCTTGAAGAAATGGGTTGTGAGGGAGAAATGAGAGGCTGAGCGTATTTATTGAGATTGAAAGAGTAGGAACCAGAGAGCGAGAGAAAAGGCGGACGAGAGGCGTGTGTGTGAAAATGCCACCGTCCACCGGGGAGTATAAAACTATCGCTACTCGCTTTCTGGGAGTGGACACGTGTTTTCTAGGTCTGTCAACGGAAGAGCCAAATAATTAAAAACAAATTGGAATTTAATTAAATTTAGGACTATAACTTTACGAATTAACCATGCTAATCGTTTTTTACATCCACTAATCACAAGATTTAAAAATATATTAAATAAATAAATTGTTTATTTGATCAAATTATTTTCATAACACAAATTGTTAAAAATAATTTATTTATATAAAACTATTGTAAAATTTCTCATGTAATGCTAAATATAATTAATAATTGTTGGTAAACACGTGCTTCAAATAGACATATACGTATATAATTTATACACGTATTTAAGTTCATAGATTATTTATCAAATATTAAGAGAAATGTTTTTTTTTATTATTATTATTAAAGAAATGACTACATTCAATTAATTCATTTGAAAATTCTAAGTTGTAGATTATTTTTTAAAATTGTATTAATTTGTTTCATAATTTTCGGCTTCTTAGGATAACATTTTAAATTCTCAATAAAATTTAAAAATATTTTTATAATTTTTTTATAAAAGGAAAATATAAGCTTTATTTTTAAAAACAAAAACTAATGGTGCTTGTTTACGTATTTAGCTAGTTAAAGAAAATGTTTACAAAAATGTAAGTGAAAACGAGTTTAAATACTCATGTGGGTTGATATTTTTATATTTATTTCTATTTAAAGAACGCTAAAAATAAAATAAATAATACATTGACTCCTAAAGCTTTAGGAAGTTCATTAAAAAAAAAATATTGAACACAAAATTAAAACTTCGATTTTGAAAATTAAGTTTATATTTAATATCCAAAATATATAATAAATTCTTAAACTTTTAATATATATTTTTTATATTAAATACATCTTTAACTCGGATGTATGCTAAGTTGTTGATTTATTTTACCTTTTTTATTATTTTTTATATGTAATAAATTGATTAATTTAATTTTTTAAAATATGACGCAAGATTGGAATTTCAAGTAAAATTAAATAATAATTAAAAACAAATTAAAATAATGGGGTCCACTGCATCACTAAATTGCGCCGTGTCGCCGCTTAGGATCCAATCGCTGTGAGCACCGGCAGACAATTGAGAAATGTAGAGTTTGAGCCACGCGACTAAATAGCGCGTTGGGAAAGTAAACCAAGGCGCCAATGTCGGTTATCCCGTGGCTTATAAATTTATGTCTTCTTTTTTCGTGTGGTTGTGGTTGTTCTTAACTTCATAAATCCACAATTTTCTCGTTCTCAATTTCTCTTTAAAAACTGCAAAATATAATATTGAATTATAGAATTAAACTATTGATTTAGTATTTTAATTACAATTTAACATAAATTAAATAATCACAAATCTATTTTAAAATAGAGATGTGAATTTAATCTCTATTTTGTTTGTGTTCGTCGTAAAATAGTCAGTTTTATAGTTACATAGATTAATTCAATGAAATTATGTGTATATATCTAACAACACAAATTGATTCAATTAGATTTCATCATGAGCACATGTGACAAGGAATCACTGAAAGAGAAGTAAGATTTATCTTTCTCGAACGCAACATATAACTCTCCATTGTACTGCGCTCTCCAAGTGCTTGTTCCCCCCTTCTTTCTTAAGTCTTTGTGAAATAACTCTGATGAGAAGAAAAAAGGTGTTAAGAAACCCTCCTGACCCAATCCTAGACACTCTAAAATTCTTTTCCAAATCTCCGGGTCCCTGCAGAAGAAAGGAAAAAGGATTTCACGTTCTTCCTTTCGCTTTCGGGGAGGGAGGATTAAGAAAATCCTATTGATTGGAGCTTTCTCTAGACCTCCGGAAAAAGCATATTCGTCATCCCAAAATGAAAGGGGCGATCTCGTAGTTCTTGGTCTACAAGAACACTTATTTGAGATTCGAATCACTTAAAAAATAAGATCGATCCTGTCAAACTTGAATGTTTCTAAACATATACTCTAAACTATATAGGATTGCAAATAAACTATTTTTTTCGCTGCATTTTTCAAATCTCATCACAAACATAACATACAAGCCTTAACGAAATTGAGACAAGGCTGGTATATCTGGGCCCTAGGCTCAATGGAGTGTGGGGATAGTGTATTGAGCTTCATATGAGAAGCCCAGAACCATGAGAATCTTCCAATCGACCCCGTCTTACCCATTTATTCTCAGCCCTGTTTGTTAGCTTGTATAGCTTTTAACGCCCACATAAATATACCAAAAACTTAAAAAGAAAAGAAAGAAAGTTCCTTCCCATTGACACATTAGCGATAAACAATCGAAAAAGAGTGTTATTCAAAAGCTATAATATGCAGTGAAGACAGAGGCCCAGGGGGGACGACACCTGACGAAGCTCCCATGCAGAAACAGAGCTAAGTGTCATTTTGATGATACAAAATGTGTTACTTTGGATTCTCCATTCCCATTTCCTCAGCAATTCGCACAACCCTTTTCCTTTTTCATTCTCATAATGAGTTGCACAAGAGAAGCCTCTTCCTTTTCTCTTTCCTTTCACACCCCCTGTTTTGTTCCGACTGCACACCTTCAGCTACCCATGGCCACCAGGCCATTTACTCCCTCTTGTCCCTTTCGTTTCACCACGTGTATTGCTTTTTTGACAGCTTGTTTTAACCTTTTTCTGTTTTAAAATCCCCCCTAAGTCATGGGTTCTCCTCGTTCTTCTTTGATTTTCTTGATCTCAACTTCTTCACTCCTTAACCCATGGCCTCTGTTCTTCGTCTCCGCAAATTATACTATGTCAACCCTGTTAAGAATTCTTCTATGGGGATCCAAACCATTGATGATGCACATAAATCAGAGGATAAACCTAATGTTGTTGTTGCATATGTGAAGAAAATGCTGCAAAAGAAGCAAGATAAGGACAGGAAGAAGAAAAGGAACAAGAACATCAATAAGGGGCAATCAAGAGAATGGAAGTGCTTAGATAACTGCTGTTGGATTATTGGATATATGTGTACATTTTGGTGGCTGATGTTTTTCGTCTACCATTATTTGCCTCTTACATTACCTGGCTTTCCAGCGATTGACTCTCCGGGGGCTGTTTTAAAGCGAGATGGCGTATCAGGTCTTCACCCAGTCGTTTTAGTGCCCGGCATTGTCACCGGCGGGCTGGAGCTCTGGGATGGCAAGCCCTGCGCCAAGGGACTGTTTCGAAAGCGCCTGTGGGGTGGGAGTTTCACTGAAACATTGAAAAGGTTAGCGAATTCCAGATGAATTTTACATTTCTGAAGCTTTTGGATTGATACTTGAAGTACCCATTTGAGAATTTGAATTCAAACTTCCAGACCATTATGCTGGTTGGAGCACCTGTCTCTGGACAATGAAACAGGGCTTGACCCACCAGGCATTCGAATCCGGCCAGTCGAAGGCCTTGTGGCCGCTGATTATTTCACCCAAGGCTACTTCGTTTGGGCTGTTCTCATAGAAAATCTGGCTAAAATTGGTTATGATGGAAAGAACTTACATATGGCTGCATATGATTGGAGGATCGCCTTCCAAAACACAGAGGTATGCAACGTGACCAACAACATTCTCTTCTTCTTCCAATCAAATTATACATATGATCATTGAGTTTCCAATAGTTGAGTTGAGAAATCACGCAGGTTAGAGACAGGGCTCTGAGCAGATTGAAGAGTAAAATAGAGGTAATGTATGAAACAAATGGGGGGAATAGAGTGGTGGTGGTACCTCACTCAATGGGGGTTCTGTACTTCCTCCACTTCATGAAGTGGGTGGAAGCGCCGCCGCCGATGGGAGGCGGTGGCGGCCTAGGGTGGTGTGCCAAGTATATTAAAGCAATCATGAACATTGGCTCTACATTTTTGGGAACTCCAAAGGCAGTCAGTAAAATTCTTTCTGCTGAAGACAGACACATTGCTTTGCTCAGGTTCTATTCTCTTCTCTTCTTCACCCTTAGAGATTCAAGGAAAAATAACGAACTTGATTGATTATCTTGGCATTTACAGAGCAATGACCCCTGGTTTTCTTAAATCTGAAATTCTTGGATTTCAAACCTTAGAACACATGTTGCGGGTTTCCCGGACCTGGGATTCAACCGCCTCCTTGTTACCGAAGGGTGGCGAGACCATCTGGGGTGACTTAGATTGGTCTCCTGAAGATGTTCAGAATTGTGATTTGGAGAAAGCAGATACACATTCTTTTAGAAACGAAAATGATTCAAATGACAGTGAGATAAAGAAGGGCTTTCAAGAAAAGGAGGCAGTGCACTATGGAAGAATGATCTCTTTTGGCAAAGAAGCAGCAACACGGCCTTCATCAGAGCTGTCTACACTTTATTCGGAGGTAAACTTTGTTGTCTACTTTCTGTGAATTGGAACTAACTTCTTTGTTGGGGAAAATGATGAAACTTACCAATGCCGAATGTATTAGATACTAGTTCTGTCTATAAGTGATCTTAGGTATTCGAAGAGGGACAGGATAGTATTTGGACTAATGAGTGGATCTTGAATAGGAGCTTATGGATTCAGGTAGCTCCAATGATACAAGCTTCTCTTGTAGCGACGGATGGACTGAATATGATGAGATGAGTAGGGAAAGTCTTCGGAAAGTCTCTGAGAATAAAGCTTACACAGCAAAAACTGTTTTTGATCTACTCCGAGTCGTGGCTCCAAAAATGATGCAGAGGATGGATAGTCACTTCTCTCATGGGATTGCTGAAGATCTTGATGATCCAAAATATGGTCATTACAAGTACTGGTCAAATCCACTGGAGACAAAGTAAGTAGCTGTGTAGTTTTTTAGAATTTTCTGATTTCTTTAGAAGATAATCTTCCACATGAAGTACTGAATAGAATCAACTCTTGGCATATGAGCTGATAATCTAATAACTATCTAGCATCAAGAAAACATTACACACATCTTTCTCAACTTTCCACTTTGCAAAATTTGTTTCAGACTACCAGATGCCCCAGACATGGAGATATACTGCTTATACGGAGTGGGAATCCCCACAGAAAGATCATATATCTATGACTCATCTTATGATAAGTGCAAGAGCATTCCATTCAGGATTGATCTTTCAATCGATGGAGAAGGGAGTGGCTGTCTAAGAAGTGGGATGTATTTTGTCGATGGCGACGACTGTGTACCAGTGGTGAGCTCTGGTTTCATGTGTGCGAAAGGGTGGCGAAACAAAACACGATTCAACCCATCAGGCAGCCCAACATACGTAAGAGAATACAGGCACAAGGCTCCTGCTAGTCTGCTAGAAGGAAGAGGAATTGAAAGTAGTGCTCACGTTGACATAATGGGCAATGCTAAACTAATTGAAGATATCTTGAGGGTTGCTGCTGGAGCCACTGGAGCAGAGATTGGTGGTGATAGGATTTACTCAGATATATTGACACTATCAGAGAGAATAAATCTTAAGCTGTGATTCAGTATGAGAGCTCAGGGGATGAGAGGTACTGAAAGGGAGATTAACGGGCTTCTATAGCAGGAGGGCATAAAATGAATGGCATAAAAAGAGAAGAAAAGAATTCATACTTTTGGCAGTGGAGTTTGTTCCCCCCAGTCTTCCATGTGAATAATATTGAGATGTTTGAGGTCAACTTTCTAAACCTGACCATGATCCAAATCTAGACAATAATGCATCTTATTCGTTAAAGATTTCCAATATGAAAGATCAGGAAATTTAAATAAGAAAATCAGCCTAAATACAAAGCTTGATTTCATAACAATAAATACTTGACAATCAGATGAAGTTACGAGACAACCTGCTGGTGAATCATTGGATGATTGGATGCAAGAAAAGAAACAAAAGGAAAACAATTGTTGCCAAAAACAAAATGGAAGCATTCCTGAGAGCCGTCACTAATGACATTTGCAAACACATCGCCCACTTGATACCTGCTTTTTCTGACATTGACCACATTTTCGGTCAAATTTAGAGGGGAAAATGAGTACTCCTTTATGCATACATATGTAAACGCAACTAAACTGTGTGAGAGGAAGAGCCAATGTTGTTATAAATGGGACGGCGCAGACACCAGAAATTATGCATCAAACTGGAAATGAGACGTAACGCAGGTATGAAAAGAGCAAATTAGTAATAGGCCTAACCTGACAACACCTAAATTTAGATCATGAAAATTGCTCAAAAAGATGGGTGGGAAGGAACCAATGAAGTAAGCAGGCAATAATTGAGCACGATGTGTCAATGTAGTGATCGTTGAATAATATGTGATTATATAGATATAGCCGATCACAGCTAAATTTTGGTCCTAAAACCATCTTAAAACCATTTATAAGGCAAGTAGTATACAACCAAACATTTTGCAGGATTTTGGAAGTTGTTGGGGACTATGTGGAGCCTGAGACCAACAAAACATCATCCAGCAAACAGACTTGACCCTGATTGCATAGTACAGCCACAAACGATAATCCATTCAGTAAATATATGCATTGACCTTTCTTTCAGTTGATAATGATTCAAAATAATATCCAGGACTGCATGCAGAATGGTGAGGCTGAAACCAAAAAGATAAACAAAAGCACCGACTCAGTATTAGTACTTTAGTGTATCTGAAGTGATTAGCGAAAACAATCATGATTGAAATTCCGCAGAAAAGATCGATTACCACTTTAGTGTACGTACTGAAAGTGGTTAACAGCAACGCTATGGGTGATGAAGTGTAGATTTCCATCTCTGCTAACTTCCCAGCCATCTGAGTTAGGAGAAAAAACGTAGCACTTAAATCAGGCATTGCAGAGGAAGAGAGTTCATAATGAACATAGAAATTGAAATAGATCTTACTCAGAATGTTTACAGCAACAACTCAACAATCTATTCACATCGATATCTTCTGCACGATATTCGTCTCTAACATCTGTCCCTTCATCCTTTGAAACAGTCCAACAATTTAAGATAGCAATGATCCTTCTTAACTAAGAGATGAGTAAAGGACAACACAAAGTTCATTTATGAAAGAAATGACCCATCAAAAATTGAAAATGAATTGCCTGCATTGAGCAATAAATAACAGTAGGCTAGTAAAACAAACTCAAAGAACAGGATACGGATATACATCTAGAGTTTGATTTTGTGCAGGCAGAGGTCAATCCATCCTCTTTTTTATTCAATTCAGTCATACGGTGGTCTAGAAGATCATCCTCGATGAGATCAGTCTTACTCACTAGTAACGACACGTACTCAAACATCCTTGGTCTGCTCATCGCCTTTTCTTCAACATGCACCAATATCCTGGCAATGATGCTCCAAACAGCATCACGGGCTTCTAGGTCATCCCCAGCAAAAGAGAATATATCAAGTAGACCTTGTAGGAAAGACAAATCTGGATAGACCAGAAGTATTAAGTCCACATAAGGTGATGAATGAAACTTGGCAATAAGAAATACAATGTAATTAACTTACCCTGACTCATGTCAAAGGCTAGATCAGGTACATCTGACAGAATATTTGCAATCAAAATCACAGCACTCATACAAGAACTTGAAACCTATGGAAAGAAATATGTCCATTTCAGAGATGGAAGGGTTTCTTGATCGTGAAAGAAAAATATATTTGTAGCATGCCGTCAATCACAGAACATAGAAGTAGTTTAAAATATACAACAAATAACAGCCGAAGAAAGAAAACTGCAGCATCTTCTAGCAACAAATTAAACGACAGGAAAGGTGGTAGATCACACGACATACAGCACTACATATCCACATTTGAGGACTACATAATTTGTCGGGTGGCAAATGGACACATTTAACAAGTTATGCAATTTATCACGCTGATAAAAGTAAATTAAATAATTCTGAAGTCTTAATAAATGGAGATGTTAATACATAATACACCAATTCCTATTATTAGAAGGTCACAGCTCTACTCTTACTTCAGGTACCTGAACTGTACCTCAAATGCATCTGGCAATTTGACTAGTTCAAAAACAAGCTGAAAAAGTTTTTTATTTGAACAAAATTCTTGAGAATGCTCTTCAATTCCAGAGAGTGCTTCAACTGCACGAAGAATCGCGTCCAAAATTGAATACCTGAAATTGAATTTTGTGAGAGGACTGATGGACTCAAAAAAGCTTCGCTAATCATCATTTCTTATTCATATTTACAAGCATCATAAACCACGTCATACAATGCAGGTTGGAGCTGCCATGCCTACGAACATACAAAACTCTACATGATCCGTTATAGATTCTTCCTATTGTTACTGCCTTTTCTTTCTTTTATGAAGACCCATTATTCCTAAACCAACTTAAATGCACTTCCACCAAATAACCCAGACCTTAGATTAATGAATATAATGACTCGAACCTACAAATTTCTCTACCACTAAACTCATTGATTATCAGTCGATGCATACAAATTAAAATAACATTTCCTTTCCTGATACAATATATTGGGTGAATGAACTCCCCGACTTGGGAGGCTAATTATAAAAGGAAAGGATATCTTAAAATAATCAAGAGATAATTACTAATATTTTAATCTAAATGCACTTATATTGCACACAAATCTAAATTACCTATAGACGAAGGAGATTAATACCTTTCAACTGATCTTTCATTTGTTAATATTTTCATCTCAAAAGAAAAAAGGTTGAACAAAGCACTCGACAAACCCAGCTTCATCAAACATGGGAGAAGAACATGCACAACTTCTTGCTGACTTTCAATGATGGTTGATAATAACCCAACACTCTGATCAAGAAAGAAACTATTTAAGCCATCAGACCAGCTAAATATTTTGTCTTGCAATTATATTATGCTATAATTTACAGTAACCTTTTATGTTCTTTGCTTCCACGTGATATAGATTTTGATACCTTTTCTATAAGTTGTGGATTTAAGGTATTCTCAGAAACCCATAGAATACGAGAGAGAACATGCTCAGAATTCAATGCCTCAGCCCATATGGCACATTCGCTACTATGAAGACCCGCATCTAACAACCTGTTAGTCATAATAACCATAACAAAATGTGCATATTACAGAGCAAGTAGAAGGATTAAATAAAATTGTCACTAAACCATATTTCAATTGAATGCCACAAAAACTCAAGAAGGGGTACCAATAAATGGCCAATATGGTAAACAAAAATTGTCCTAATGAGTCTTAAAACATAGTATGGCAGGTATGAATGCCAACCTGACCAAATGAAATATTGGGAAAAGAAAGTTGCATATAGTTTGCAATTGGACATTATATAAATTGATTATAAAGGCGTATTTTTTTACGCTACCTGCAAACTTCACATAAACATTGAGCATCATCTAGAAACAGCTGGTTCACAATGATTGTAATCAATCCACTCTTGTCGACTATATGTTTCATGGGAACTTCATGGCAGGCCAGGTTTCCAATAATTCCAAGGACAATCTCCTGCAGCAAGTAATCGATTGAATATGGATCTGAGGCAGTACTCAACTGATATCCTCAAAATAGAGCAACATTGTTTATCCATCTCTTTGCAAGAAAATAAAAGATAATGATGCACTTTCTAACGCATAATGGAAAATGACCATTAAAATTACACGCACGTTGTCACATACCATAACACGCACAGATTGTGAGACCATCAGGTTCGCAGAAAGAACTTCAAGAACGAGGTTCTGAACCTGGAAAACATGTAAACATGAAGATTACGTAAATGAAACCGGTTTTAATTGCAGGTGGCTATAGTGACACTATTGCTAGAATACTCAAAATATAATGTCACCAGTTCCATTTGAAAAGCATTATATTATTTGCAAGTCAATGCTACACTACATATGGAGGGTACCGGAAACAAGGGAAGAAAGAGTATAATACGAGACTTGGCAAGGTCAATAATGATGACTACAGTGCTAATAAGAACACGTTTTATAATTTAATCAGCCCACTTCTTCTCTTATCAAGACAAGTGGGACGAACAGAGTGTGTGGTGTGGGTGTGGGTGTGGGTGTGGGTGTGGAAGGAAACTAAAGTACCATTAATTCTGCATGAGATTTACTCGCAGAAAGATCCCACAGAATGCAACCATACTCTTCCCAGACATTTTCTTCTGATGATGAAATACGTTGCTCCGATCTAGGACATGCACCTTCATCCTCACCTTCTCGATCAGCAAGTTTGTCAGAACCATCCGCAATTTCAATGCCCTGGCATTCATTCACTGTTCCTGAAGAACTTAATACTTGGTCGCCAGATAAATAGGCATCACTTTCATCCATGTTGGTTACTGAGGCGTCACGGTCGTCGTCTCTAATTCCATAAGAATTGCGCAGGTTACTTGCATCGGATGGCAGAAGTTTCCGTATGAGAGAGATAATATAGCTAGGATCAACCGTCGTTGAGATGTCAAATAACTGCAAAGTAATGTCGATAAGAAATTCAATCCACTGTCTCGGTCTCAAGATTCAGCTATCTCAATAACAAAATTTCTATGACAACACAACCAAACTTATCACCATCGTAATACCAATTCATCGCATAATGCTACAACGTAAAGTCAAGTAACAAAGAAAATCCAGGTTAGCACAGCTGAAAGAACAAATACAGTGGCTAGCTCAAGTTTCAAGGGAAATTTTCAGGAGAAGCTAATTAAATGTTAAACAAGCTCAGAAGTTCGAATAGAAACCTCATCAAATGGAGCGGAAGGGTGATGAGCAGGTCCTTTACCGCCTTCTACAGATTCGAGTTCTGGGTCCAGTTCCGCTTCAATAGGGTCTGAATCTGAGCCCACCTCCATAACAAGGTTTCAAGAACACGATTAGCAGATAGTCTCGCTGTCGTCTTCAACCAAAATTTTCTACGACAGAAGCGTCGTATTCGTGTGGCCTGCAATTTCCCCAGCTACTCCGCCTCTCCGTCTCCGGCGCTCGACCAGATACCCATTTCGTCAATCGGGCCGGGTATCTGCCAGCCATTTTGGGCCGTCCGATTATCATTTTTTTGTTCCACAATTATTTGTTGAACCATTTGCTTTAAACGAATTTCTAAGATGAAATTATGATTTTAATCAAATAATTCTAAGTTTGTGTTTAATTAATTTTGCAACTATGCATAAATTAACTTTTTTTAGTTCAACATTGAATCTTACTCTAAATAAATTACATGTATCAAATCTTATGCCATATAATTATTTTTTTATAAAGTAAGTTCATTAATTTCATATAGAAAAAGAGGTAGCGGCCAACTTTACTTACTACAAACAAAACAGCAAGAACCTAGCACAAAAAAGATTTACATTTTAAATCTGTTCCAAGGATTCAGGAAAAAGTTCTAACCCAGAGCATTGTGCTATGAGAGACCTAGAAACAATGGGAGTGGTAAAGATAAGCAAAGCATACTCAAAGGTGCCCTCTATTGAACCGAGAAACGCTCAAGACATTCGGTGTTCGAGGTTGGTCGAGAAGAGCCTACGAAAGCTGGTCTACTCTCTCCAAGCAAGATACCAAAATACACACTGAATCAATTTGGATCAGGAATGCTTTCCGACTACAACAAAAACCAACCAGGATGGGTTACATTGTACAAGCCATACCCTGAAATGCCATAACATTACATCTCTAGTTATGTTTGTTTCGATGCGGTCGATTTTGAAGTTCCATCGATAACTATGTTTCCAATTCCAATCTCCATGGCTTCTCTCTCGTCCTTCTCACTTATTTTTGTAGAAGGATTTTGCTCTATGGGCTGATTTTGATGGCTTGACACAGAAGATTCAAGAATCCTTGGGACAGAATTCAGCCATGGATGGCTAAGACATTGTGCTGCTGTTAGTCTCTTTTCAGGTGCAAAATCCAATAAAGGAGTAAGAAAGTCAGCCATGTCATTAGCATCTTGCTCGCTGAAATCATACTTCTCAGTCAACACTTTATTAAGAGGCCAAAAGCGCAAATGACGAATATGCCTCAACTCTCCATATCTATTGAAGTAGTCCCTTGAATAGCGACCGCCTAACGCAACCTGTGCGGGATATTTTCCATAATAAATGAGATGATAACATAATAGTATTTAAGAACCATCAAAATATCAGGTTAATTGAAAAATGTCATATATGATAAAGACAGCATGGCCTTTGAAAGTATGTAACCCTCACCTTGCGAGGCATCACTCCAAGAAGCTCCATCATCAATGCTAAATGATCCTGTGAAATCAAATAAATACCAGAAATTACAACTTCCGGAAGAGAACATCCATGTCACAAGTCCGTAGTTATAGCACAGTTTTGTTTTCCAGTTCTCAGAACACATAGACCGGGGATGTCGACATGCAATGCTTATAGTTACTTTAAACGAACCAAATACCATACTAATAATCTTACTAGCCAAGCAAATACAAGAGGGGGTCAGATTACAGCCAACGATTTAAGGATAATAACCACATTATGGTTAAAAAAAACGCACTACGTTAAAATCAAAATTATTTAAGTTTTCCAATATACAGCCTTAGCAAACTATAACCGTGCCTATTCAGTGTATGATGTGTATGATGAGATGAACTTCTACATTATGCCTTTCTAACGGCTACAGCAGAAGAAACATGTCAAAAAATCAAATTATAACTCGTTGAAAACTCAAACAAACAACAACAGCAAACAACTTTTCAGTAAGGTTTTCAAAGAAGTGAAAATTGGGACTTTGCCGTGAGTAGGAACAATGCTTCCAAATGAGAGGTGACAATCAATTAACAAGTATTCCAGGTTTAAGAATTAAAGAGTTCAGGAAAAAAAAACATGATAACAAAAGGAGAGCAAGAAAGGATTTTTACATACTTCATCCCTTTCATAGTTGTCACCACTGTGTGGATCAAAAAGAACATCACCAGTGGCCAACTCGAAACAAATGCAAGCAAATGACCACATATCTGCTGGAGTTGAATATTTAGATCCAAGTATAACCTCAGGGCACCTATACTGCCGTGTTTGAATATCATTGGTGAATTGCTTGTATGTCCAGCATGCATTCCCAAAATCAACCAGCTTGCACTTAAGATCAGCAGCTGCCAGCAGCCTCTGCCTTGTTTCTCGGCTCATTTTACTGTGGCTTTTCTTCCCTTGGCAAGCATCTGTTAAATCATCAGCATTTTTTATGCCAACATCATTCACAGCATTATCTTTACATGTTTTGGTTGTACCCCCATTTAATTTAACCCCATTATCAAAATCTTCAGTGCCAGCTCTTGTACAGTCTTCTTCATCTAGATCATCTTCAACAGTTTCCTTCTCCAAACGCCCCTGGGCTGCCTTCTTAGTTCTTTTCCTTATCTTCTTTTTCTGGTTCTTGATAACATCCCCATTGAAGCTCTTAACATCAATTAAAGCATCAGAACTAGTCGAAGTTTTGTTCTTATTGTTTGGAAGGATGAGAGGATTTCCTGATTTTCTAGGATCTTTAGATGGATCAATCATAGATGGAAGCAATACATTCTCTGGCTTTAAATCTGTATGTATAATTGAAAGTTTGCTGTGCAAGTAATCTAATCCCACTAAAATATGAAAACAAATTTCCTTCACCATGTGTAGAGGAATACCTCTGTAATCAGCATATTTAATAAGGGTCAATAAGTTGTCCCCGAGGTACTCAAAAACCATACAAACATGAAGCCCATTTGGGCCAGAATGCTTAAAATGATCCAAAAGCTTCACAACACACTTCTTATCTTCCATATCTCCCTCTGCTATCTGCTTAAGAATCTTAATCTCATCCAACGCAGCTTCAGTGTAATGCTGAGCACTCTTTTGAACTTTCAAAGCTACATAAATCTACAAACAATAAAATTCTCGTGTTGTTAAAGAACTAAATAATGAATGCAAATGCAAGTGCTTGGTTTCGCCTTCAGCCTATAACCACCAAACCTTGTAGAGAATAACCTAAATAGCCGTAAACTGATAGTGAAATAAAAAAGAAAACGACGTAAAATCGGTAAGACCTGGATGCATAAAGCACAACAGCCACCAACAAAATTTAACGTTGTGAGCAAAAAGTTAAGTTCAAAGTTCAACTCTGAATCTTCAAAACGACTACCAGCGGCGAGGACCGATCCTGGTCCTTATCCGTTAGAAGGAAGGCAATGACATAATCCATTTCCGGACGCTACTTCTCGTAAAGTAACATAACATAATTCTCGTTTCATCAAACTATTCTTCTTGCTACTTGTAATCAAACCCACCGATCCCAACAACTAATTCTCCAATGTGCATTCAACATTCCCTCAATAAGATCACTTTCCTTATAATCTCTCACTTCTAAAGAAAAAACAAAAAACTAGAACTCCAAATTCCAACAAAAACCATACCGATTTCTGAGTGTCCCAAGCTAACCACACAGTGGAAAAATGACCCCACCCGAGCTTGCTTTGAACAACATAGCATCCGTTCTTAAAAGTATCCCCAACACGAACCGCATGATACCCTCCTCGCCTGTAGTCCTCAGTCCCTTCATCCTCCGATGTATAATCAGTTTCCTCGCTCCGATCGCCTTTCCGAGCCTCCGCCATTGACGAAACAAATGAAGATTAAATACAGAATTCGTAGGAGAGCAAACGAACACTAATATCCTCCGTAGAAATGGATGTTCCTGAGGTAAATCTGAGGGAAAAGTTAGAGCAAGCGCCTTGGTCGTGCTACCGCGCCAACCGCGATTAGGGTTTATATGGTGCGTACCTACTGCCGGGAAAGAGGACAACCGATAACTTAATAAGGAGTCTTTTCCGAAAAATATATATATAGTGAGTGATTGGATTGTACTGTCGTGAATACAACAAGTCCGATCGCGAATTTTTAGTTTGAAATTCTATGGATTTGGTAATTTCTTATAAATTTAAATTCTAATTTTAAATAAAAAACACTAAATTCATGAAACTTGTAATTCAACCCTTTCATTTATTCATTTATTTTCATTTCTTTTTTTAGAACAGCGTTTTCTTTAATTTATTTATCCAATATAATCAAACATTTTCAACTCTAATAACGATAATATTGTATATTCTCAATTATTGTTATAATTTTTTATTTAAATAAAACAATTTAGTACTTTATGAAATATATAGAATAATTATTTTGGATATTATTTATTAAATAGTTCTTTCTCTCCCTCCACACACACATATATATATATAAAATCTCAAATATTATACGTGATTAATTATGACAATAATTTCAACTAATTTTAATACAAAATATTTGTGGGACAAATTTTGATAAATATTTTAGCTATTTGTACAAATTATTTTGAGATTTAATTATTTTGGTTTGTCAATTCATATGATTTATCCTTGAGAGTATTTTTTTAGTTTATTTTATTATATAAAATACGAATAAAAATAATTATTCACTGGGTACCCTAAATGGGGAATCAAGGTCAGTGATTCCCGGATAAAAAATTTATCTCGAATATTTAGTAGGGACAGAAACAAGGAAATGTATTTCCACCCGGACCCCATTCCCGACTTTCAATCTAGATATAATTAGTTAATCGACATTAAATTCATAATAATTTATTTTATTATTATAAAATTAATATTTTAGCATTAATTTTAATATATTAAGTATATGTTACATGTAATATGTTTATTGAGACATTTGACTCCAACCTCTAAATATGCGGAGATAGGAAATGGGACACGTGGATTAATCTCATAATTTTGTTAATTAAAAATATTTTTGGATTTTTTAAAAAATTTTTAAAATTAGTATTGAAATTTTAAATGTTTAAATGTAAAAGGAGGTTTCTATTATTTTAGCTAACGGATAAATCGAGCACTTGTGTAATCCAAATTTGTTCACCGAAACATTTGTTTTAGCGCCTTCTTACGAACCATTCCTTGTTGAGGATTATTGGGATTGGGAGTGTCCCACATTGGTTAATTTAGTGGAAGATCATGGGTTTATAAGTGAG